TTGTGTTGTGGGGATCGAACCACAGCAACCTGAGCCTGACTGCTTTGTTGAAGCAGCCACTTAAAGAACTGAGCTAAGGGGCAGGCCCCCCCTACAGTTTTTCATTACAGTAGTTCCTCACTATTTTGTGGCTCGACTTTCACATTCTCACTGTTTCCTGGGTGTTCAAAAAATATTAATCTAAATTATTTATTGCAGATTTTTCACTGTTCTGTGGGATTTTGTAGCACTGTACAGTATATGTATGTTGTTAGAATTACATAGGTTTACAAATTTAGAAAATGGTTAACATTAGAAGTGTTTTTAAAAGTGTGGGAGGGACCAGGGAGATAGCATGGTGGTCTAAGCGCCTGCCTGGCAAGTGCAAGAAGCCGGGTTTGATCCCTGGTGCAGCATGCTGCATGGGACCCGGAACCCTGGGCATGCCATACTAGCCACCAAAACCAGGCGTGGTGGCGCACACCTGTAATCCCAGCTCTGGCAAGGCTGAAACAGGATGATCACTATGAGTCTGAGCTGTGTATCGAGACCCTGTACCAAATAAGTAAATAAAATATATTTTTTTAAAGAATTAGAAGAAACAAGCATGGAAGTGGGAAAGGTTTATAAGAGTGTGAGAAGGGTTTATAAAGCCTTAAAATATCTATATCTATATCTCTATATCTATCTCTCTCTCTCTCTCTCTCTCTCTCTATATATATATATATATATATATATATATATATATATATAAAATTTGATTGGCTCCAGGGATGGGAAAATGATGGGAAAAAGAAAATATTTGTTGGGTTTTGCCACAGCTGACTAGGACTTCCATGCTTGTTCCTTCTAATTCTTTCAGTAGCTCTGACTAGATGACTGCCATTTTAAATGTAAAAGAACGCTGATGCTCAGAGTTTAAAATTTGCTTAAGACCATGGGAGCATGTGGCTGGTTTATGGCTTGAATTAAAACTTTTCTGACCCAAAAGCCCATATGTTTTGTATTAAGAAAGGTCACCTTTTCCAGAGATTTTCCTGGCATAGGGATTTAAGAATTTGACCTATAAAAGTCAGGATAGACTGACCAGCAGGAATCTCAGTTTTGTTCCTTTTTCATTTAGGACCTAAGAAAAGATTTCAAGTTCCCCAAAGCAAGACTTCAGCGATCGTCCTGTCTGAGGAAAAGGAAGCTAGAATGGTGCCGAAGGGCCTTAGCCCACCAGCTCGTCACAGGGCCTTTCCTTTGGAGGGAAAAGAAAGAGCTGGACCCCACGAGCCGCTGATTCAGGAGCCTGGCAGTGTCTTCCTTGAAGATGAAGCCTCCACTGAGCTGGACCTGGAGCAAATCATGGAAGATATTGGAAGAAAGCCGGAAGAAAGAAAGGCGCTGTGAGACTGCGGTGCTGCAGGGGCTTCTCGGGCCTCCTTTGATAAGTAATGGTGTTCTCCCGCCCTCCTCTTACTCTCTCAAGCAACAAAGAGAGCCTTTCAGTTTACTCTGGCATGTTCCTATGTGTCTGAGTTATTAATGGCTACAAGATTCAAGAGCTTCTCAGTTTATGTTAATAAAGTGGGTTACATGTGTGCTTGGTGTGGTTGGTGTGTGACTTAGTCACTTTCCTGGTGCTCAGACATGATAGTTGACACGCATGCCTTAAAGGAGGAAAAGTTCATTTTGGCTCATGGCTTCAGACTGGTCAGCAAGATCCAAGGCAAAAGTAGGGTGGTGGAAGGACATGGTGGACAAAGAGGGTTTGGTGTCTGGCAGCCAGGAAGCAGAGAGAAGGGAGGATCCTGCCAGGAACGAGAATGCATCTTCCTAGTCCATGCTGCCCGGGACCTCTCTCCAGCCAGACCCCACCTGCTGGCAGCAGGGTAGCGCCTCATGTTGAAGGATTCCACTGCTGAGCATTGCACCCCTGTGATCCAGGCTCCTTCCTCAGGCATGAGAAAGCTGCTACCAGTGTTTGGGGATTTGTGTTCCCTGGATTGAGGCAGTGTCTGAAAAAAGTAGGGGCCTTCAATATGAGTTATCTGTTAGAATTTATTTTTAGAGAAGCAGAAGACATTGACATCAGTTTCCTGTTAATTGCAGTCAGACAAATCTTGCGGGTAGGATTTCTGAGCAAGGGCTTGGGAGTTGAAGAGGGAACTAGCGTAGGTGGCCTTTTCAATTCCCTTCTGGCCTTCAAACTTGCTCACTTCTGAGCTGTCTTGGCTGTTGTTTGAATCTGTGATCATTGCTATTGGACTCTAAGATCAGCATTCAGTCCCAGTCATGAGGTCTTTAGGAGACTGTACAGTGTCTCTTCTCTTGGGGCCTCTCATGGGAAGGGTGGCAGGAAGGTGCTTTTGCTGGCGAGGTAGGTCAGAGAGGGTGAGGGAGGCATAGACTATGTCGTTCTGAGTAGAAGCATGAGAAGGAGGTTAGGCAGCAAAGACGGAACTTACCCTCTTAAGCAGCAGCCTACTGCCTGAGTGCCCAGCCCACAACAGGGCCCTCCATTCCTTCCACCCCACCTTTGTCAGACTTCAGAGAGTTCCTTAAGGTCACTTACCCTGGGGCTCAGCTGGGCATCTATATGTTTTTCTAGGGAAAAAGGAATGCTGAGGTCAGAGAGTGCAACAGGCAGGCAGGCAGGCTGCTTCAATAGTGAAGTTACCTGCTAGGCCAGGGCCAGGGTCATGTGGGAGGGACGAGGTGCAGAACGGGAAAAAGGAAAATACTGGGAGGTGGTGTGTATGTAGGTGGGCTGTGTTTGGGGCTAGAGGGGGATGGTGGTGCAGGACTCACCTTTGTACCCAGTATTCTCATAGTGCCCGGTGCTTTCGACGAGTTCCCTGCATTGGGCCAAGAGGATGAGAAATGCATTAGCTGCCAGGCAGGAAAGTTAAGATGTATCAGGGCTGATTTTCTGAGAGGGGCTCTGCAACCTGCCCTGCCGCTCAGGATGAAGGTGCCAGTGTTGGATCTTCAGCAGGAGGCGATTTGGAAGAGGGTTTGAGGCCTGTGGTGGGGTGGCCCCTCGGAGCTCCTTAGTGCTGAAGGTTAGGGCTATTCTAGGGAAGCTGCCTGCATTAGAGAAATAAGAGCTAGGATGAGTCAACCTTCTTCCCTGTGTGGCTAAAACTAGCAGAATGAAACCCATTTAGTGAAGTTCAGAACCTCTGGGCAAATACAGTGGTTTCTTAGAAGGAGAAGGGACCAGTCAGGGGCCCAGAGCAAGGCCATGGAGGGGAAGGGCGGGGGTGGCTCAGGGCGGGCAAGGTATGGGAAGGGCAAAAAGGGCAGAAGAGGAAGAAGAGGTGGGAGCATGAAGAGGGAAGGCTGAGAGGTGGCAGGGGAGGCAGCGACTCCTGGAGTCAATAGCACATCAGGACAGAAAAGAAGAACACAGAGGATGATACATAGGTGAGCTGCTTGCGTCTAGGAGGTGTTCAGTGTTCCCAGGAAACAAACAGCAGCAGAAGCCCTGGGGCGAGAGAAAGGAGGACCAAGAAGCGGGAGCCATCTAAAAGACGCCACTGTGCACAGTATCAAGCGGTGGAGCCTGCAGAGGCCGAGAGCGTGGCCTATTGGAGGACAGAGATGGGCAGACAGGGAGTCCAGGGTGGGAGGGCTGCAGTGAAAGATGTCTCCTTTGGCTACCACAAGGAAACTTCCCAAGCCAGTGCACCTTCCCCTCCCAGCCCTGTGGAGGACAAGTACCCACCTGGCAGGGCTTTGGGCTTCAGTCTGTGGAGCTGTAGGGAGACCAACAGCGAGCGCATCAGTGCCATACCCACAGACTGACGCGTCACCATTTCAGCTGTATCCTATGCTCCTGATGTGGACCCCGGAGCAGAGAAGGGCTGTCCGCATCAGTCAGCGAAGGGCTTGGGTCTCACCAGCTCACATGTGTCCAGTTGTCCTTGACAGCAGGTTCTGAGACAGTCTCTTCTGATCTGTTGCTCCTTCATCCCTGCTGAATCTCCCTTAGCTCACCTCCGCGGCCCTGAATTCCCTGCTTGGCCGACCTACCTCCTTACCCCTTTCTGCTGTCAGCCCCGCCACACTCTCCCGCTGGCCGTACAGGTGGAGCTTCTCTCCTGAGTGCTGGCTGGTTTTGTCCTAGCTGATTCAGTATTATGTTAAAGTCTTGTTTAAACTCCTGCTGTTACCACAGCACTGTTCCTTCCCACAAAGAAGAATCTTCACTTGGATGGCCAGTGACTGTCTTTTCCACCATCCTTAGCTTTTGCCTGGTTCTTTCTATTATTGTTTTTTGTTGTTTTTTTTTTTTTTAATTTTTATTTTTTTGTGGAACCGGGGATTGAACTCAGGCCCTTTCACTTGCCAGGCAAGTGCTTATTCCACTGAGACATCTCCCCGGCCCCTAATTTTATTCTTCTACAGGTCTTACTTCCTTTGGGAAGTCCTTCCTGACTCTCCTCCTCAGACTCTCAGTTCTACCGTTGCTCTTTCCTAATGTGCAGTTAACCCTTGAGGCAGCCACCCAGCAGCATGAGCAGCTCCCTACCCCTGAGTTCCTTGAGAAGCAGACTGTATGCTTTACCTAGTTCTTATTCTCCAGTTTCAAGCCAGGCTCTGGAATGTGAACACTGGTCTAGTCCTTCTTGAGCTGAGCCAGATTCCTGTTCCTTCTGCTTTCTCCTTACTTCCCCACAGATAACCCTCCCTTCTCCAGCAACAAAAAGTGATAATTCATAAGAAATGACTAAATCGAAGGGGAACGACTGTATTGGCAAATGATCAGATTCTATCCTCGCCCCCCAACACTTGAGGCACCTGTTACAGCTGGAAACTCCCAAGTTTCCAGGCCCAGAGCATGACTTGGTGGATTTGACGTGAGCCCAAAAGGGATCTGCATTCTAGTGATTTTGATGCAGGTAGGTTCTGAGAGACGCTCAGCTGGGAGGCTTACGGCGAGCTGGCCCTGAACCCCTTACCTTTCTTTCTGTGCTGCCTGAGGAAGACTGTCAGTCCCACGATCACAGTTATGAGCGCAATGGTGGCAGCTACTGTCACCCCCACGATAGCTCCAAGATTCAGGGATTCTGAGCTCATTCCTTCTGTGAACTTGGAACCAGCTGTGGTAGTTTTAGAGATGCTGGTGGGCCTCTGCGTGGTGCTCTTAGCAGCTGTGGAGACATGAGAAATAAGCAGATGTTCCCCTGGAGGAATGCAGGTGTCAGGGTGAAGGGGTTGCATCTTTTTCACTAATTTCAGGTAACAAGCCTTCCTTCTGTATGGGGGAGGAGCAGTTCTCAGAAGTTCGTACCAGGAGGGAGCAACAAGGGGAACGCTAAATTCTTAGGCTCCAGGTCACCTGTTTAAATCCTGACCTTCAACCACTTATGGTGTGTGCATCAGTTGCAAATTAGATACCTAGATCATAGAATTAAAAATTATTTTTGTTGCTGTAAATATATGTAACAAAATATCATTTTAACCCTATGAAAGTATATAGTTCAGTGGTGCTAGATACATTCAAACTGCTTTGCAACTACTACAACCAGCCAACTCTAGAACTTGTTCGTGTTTCTAAATGAAAACTCTGAACCTATCAAGTTCCTATTCTCCAAAATTCCAGCCTCTAGCAGCCATAATTTGACTTTCCCTCTCTATCACTTAGACTACTCTAGGGACTGCCTATGAGTGGAACTATATAGTATGTGCGCTTTTATAGGATTGATTTGATACAGTGAAGAGGTGTATAACAATGTTTTGCTCAGTGACAGCCTACATAGCCAACAGAGGTCTTGTAAAATTCTATAGCTTTCTCAGTTTGTGTTAAGTCTATGATTTCATGAAAGAATGGAATTACCTAAAAATGCTCTTTTCAGATGGTAGCAACCTTGTTAAGCACCACATGACTGAGAAAAATCTCTAAAGCACTGAGTTCATAATGGAAATATATTTTAAAGGTTAAATTAATGCCTATTGCTCTTTAGGTCCTACAGATTGTACCTTCTTTGTGGGTGTTTAATGCATTATTTAAAAATTGATATAGCACTCAGTCTTACAAAATATTAGACATCTTCAGATGAGTGTGGACCAAATGCTTTGTCCACACATAATTAGAAGTTAAGAAAAGTGACGTGTAGGTAAGCATCCCACTATATGCCATAAATATATATAATTAGATGCCAATTAAAAATTAGAAAACATTAGTAGAAGTGTAAATACCATCTCATTTGAGAATTGAGAATTTTAAATTTAAAGAGAAAACATAATAACATGTTATTTAGAAAATAGAGTATTATGTGTATATAAAAATATGAAATGTGACTAAATAGACTAAATTCATAATACTAAATTCTTTCATTACTTAAAGTGGAAATTTTTCTAATGATTGAAACATTCAATTTCCAAAGAAAAAGTAGCAAAACCAGAGGAGCTAGCCTAATGGAAACTCAAAGGCACCAAATAATGAAAACATTTTTAGGAATAAATTTATTAATAGATAGCAATAGAAAAAACAAATGCAGAAACTGGTTACTTAAAGAAAACAAGACCACCTTATCTAACCCACACTTTATATATTTATTTATTTTTATTTTACTTTTTTTCCCCCAGTACTAAGGATCAACCTTGGAACCTTGTGCTTGCCAGGCAAGCACGTATGTCACTGAGCTATCTCCCCAGCCCCCCACTATCTAACAACAGCACTGAGCTCATTAATGAATGTATGCTCAGTAAGCCAGTCAATGTAAAAACCCTGTGAAATGGATTTTTTGGAAACAAATATTAATTTTTAAAAGTTGATTTAAGAAACAGTAAACATAAACATATATAAATTAAAGAACTTAAAGCAATTGAGAATGCTATTAAGGAAGTACCTTTTGATGGTTCTATATACATAAATAAATATAATTCACCACATAAACAGAATCAGGGATAAAAATCATGATCATCTTAATATAAGCAGAAAAAGCCTTAGACAAAATTAAATATTCCTTCATGATAAAGCTTAGATAAAACTAGGGATAGAAGGATCCTACCTCAGTATAATAAAAGTTATATACAACAAACCCACAGGCAACATCATACTTAATGGACAAAAACTGAAGGATTTCCTCTAAAAACAGGAACAAGATAAGGGTGTCCATTCTTGCTACTCTTGTTCAATATAGTATTTGAAATTTAGCTAGAGCAATTAGAGAAAGAACAGGGATATAAAGAAGAGAGATGTCAAATTATCCCTACAGGGCCAGCCTGATAGCTCAGCAGACTAAAGCGCCTGCTTAGGCAGAGTACAGCGGTCGGGGTTCGATCCCCAGTGTGCCCTGCTGGCCCCACCCATGGGGTGTGCTGAGACAGCAATTGAGACTGGGCATGGTGGCACGCGCCTGTAATCCCAGCACTTGGGAGGCTTAAGACTGGAGAATCAATACAAGTTCGATCTACGTAGTGAGACCCTATAGACCCTGTAGACCCTATAGATACTGTCCTAAATATAGGGAAAAAATCCCTACAGACTATAGGATTCTTTTCTTAGAAGAACTCCACCAGAAGACTACCAATTCTGATGAATAAATGGAGCAAAGTGACAGTAAAAACATGCAGAATCAGTAGGAATTAATAACCCCTAAAGAGTATATGAAAACAGTTCCATTTTCAATAACTACACACACACACACACACACACACACACGAATAAGTCCAGCAAAGAACATAAAAACCCTCTATAGTGAAAATTACAAAACAATGAAAAAAGAAATTGAAGACACTTAAATATGGAAAGAACTCCCTTGTGGGACTGGCTTAATTAATATTAACATGGCCAAAATGCACCAAAAGTGATCTACGGATTCAGTGCAATCCCCATCAAAAAATACCAATCACATTCTTCACAAAACTAGAAAAAGCAAATCTAAAATTCATATGGAAGGAAGCACAAAAGATCCAGAATAGCCAAAGCAGTTCTGAGCAAAAAGAGTAACGTTGGAAGCACCACAATACCCACTTTTAAATTAGACCATAAAGTCATAGTAACAAAAACAGTGCTGCTGGTACAAAAATTGACACATAGACCACAAAAATAAAGGGTACCACAGAAATAAAAACTCACACAACTACAGCTTTCATTCTTTTTTTTTTTTTTTTGTACTGGAGATTGAACTAGGGACCTTGCACTTGCCAAGCAGGCACTTATGCTGCTGAGCCAGCTCCCTAGCCCAGCTACCTCATTCTTGACAAAGGGATCAAAAGTGTGTTGGAGAAAAAGATAACCTCACTGACAACTGGTGGTGGGAAAATTGGATGTCTACAAAAAGACAGAGACTAGATCCTTTACACTCACTCTGTACAAAATCAATTCAAAAATGGGCCAAAGGGGAAAATAAAAAATGGACCAAAGACTTTAAACTTTGAAACTGACAGAAGAAAACATAGGAGAAACACTTCAAGTCAAATGCATAGGCACAGCTTGCTGAACAGGACTCCAACAGAACAGGATAAAATAGTCAACAAATGGGATGACCTCAATTAAGCTTCTGCACAGCAAAGGAGACAATCAACAGAGTAAAGAGATCGTCTCCAGAATAAGAGAAAATCCTTGCCACGCACTACTCTTCTGCTGATTAATATCTACACGATGTGGAGGCCTCAAAAACTTGCCAGAAAAATAGGCAAGAAATGAGCAAATGAATTGAATAGACACTTCTCAAAAGAAGTACAGAAGAGAGATGAAGTGGCAATGGGGACGTAAGGTAGACAGAGTAGGGTGCTACTGTGCATTCCATTTGATTTCTGTACTGCTTGGACATTATTAAGGGCAAGTATTACTAGTACATTATTAATTTTAAAAAATAACATTTTTTCAGAGTTGTATAGACACACAGTTTAGAGTCACCAAATGTCACACAGCTGTACAAAGCAGCACGGCCTGTACAGGCCCCCACATTTGCTTCCCGTTCCCCAGAGGTGCTATTTTCAACGACTTTTGCCATTTTCCTCTCCCTTTTCTCCTCCCGCCCCTTCCCTCTCCACAGTCCTCCATCCTTAGCCTCCCAAACTCCCGGGGTCGCAGATATGTGATACCACAGCTACTGGTTTGCTATTTTTAAAGAACACATTAACCTCACATTTCTAAATAAAATGAGTATGTGCTGTTGCTTGCTTCGGTTGCTTTAGAGGGCATCTATGTACTGCCTACTGTTGAAGTTAAGGACTTAGAGCTTAACACCCCCAGTCTCTTCATCTCACTCAACTTTTCAGTTGTCTTCTTTTTTTAGACAGGCTATTTTGCCCAGGCTGGTCTTGAATTCTTGGCTTGACTGATCGTCCTACCCCTCAGCCTATAAGTATCTGGGGCTACAGGTGTATACAACTGTGTCCAGCTGGTTAGCATTTGATATTTGCCCTTTTGATGGCTTCTTTTGGATTCTGAGACATCACTCTCTTGCCCCTCCTTTCTCACCCCTGGCTCTTTCTCTGCCTCTTCTGTGGATTCTTCCTCCTGGAGCTTGCAGCTCCCTTTCCTGCTCCTCCCTTGACGCCCTCTGCTTCCTGTCTGCTTTGCATCTCTGTTCTACCTTGCTGCTTGGAACCAGCCAATTGTGGGCTGAGATGGGAGCCCAAAGAAGCCTTTCCTCCTTGAGGTCGCTGGTGTTTGTATGTGCCTCAGCAATGAGAAAAGTGACTAAGACACGTAGCTTTTAAGATTTTCAGCCGACCTTCGAATTTCCAGACCTGTTCTGGATCTGGCTTTCTGGGGCACCAGAAACTAGCGCTGCTGAGCCTCTCTGGCATTCTGCAGTATAAATTGCCTTTCTTCTGAGCTCCCCACCACGGGCACAGGGTTCTGCTCCTCTGCTCTCCTATGCCACCACTGGGCTTCCCAGCCTCCCAAGCTTTGTTTTTTGACCTCTGGCTCACCGTTTTTGTTCTTGGGTGTTTTTGTCTTTAAAAATTCCCTTTGCTTTCGTATATTTTGAGGTAGAATAGAGTTAAGCATGTGCATATAACCTGCCATCTTGGCCAGGCAGGCGCTTATGCCACTGAGCTATCTCACCAGCCCCTAACCTGCCATCTTGGCCAGAATCTATGCCCTATTTTTTACAATAAAATTATTTTAAAATTCAAAATTAATATTTCTCATTAATAATAAAATTAGAAAATATAGCAACCAAAAATCTTGAGACATATACATGATTTTTAGAATACTGCCAAGAGTTACTGAGGGATAGAAAGCAGGATCCACTCCTGTGGTGGAAGATCCTCTGTGACTGTGCCATTCTGCCAGTAGGTTTAATTGAGATTTAAAAGATCACAGTGTTGGGGCTGGGGGGATGGCTCAGTAGAACAAGCGCTTGCCTGGCAAGCACAAGGGCCGGAGTTCAATCCCTGGTTCTGATCACAGTGTTTCCTCTGAACTCGGCAGACTTTTTCTAATGTTTCTGTGCATGAATAAAAAGGTAATGGTAACAAGGTTTTTGAAGAAAGACTAATGTGGTTGAGACAAATAGTCTCATCAGCCATTAAAACATGTGATAAAGTTATAATCACAAGACAGTGTGATCCGGATAGAAGACAAGACAGATTAGTGAAACAACAGACTCGTCAGAGGAGTGCTATTCTTCACAAGAAGCTACAAACCAGGCCTCCTGCTGGGAAAACAGCTCTGTAGCAGAGCAATTGCCCACCATGTGTGATTGGATTCTCAGCATTGGAAAAGGGAAAAAAAAGGTAGGGGGGGATATTGAGAAGAAAAAAAAAATTCAACAAATGGGTTGGGATTGATCAGTTGCTTACTATAAAGATCAACTTTATTGGGTCATTTATGTCATATACCCAATAAATTTTCACTACTAAAAAGATTTTTTATTGTGAAAAGAAATTGAATCATACATTTTTAGTCACTAGTGGGAGTTCAAATTTTTGGCCTCAATAAAAGAGATGTTTTCCAGGTGTTTTGGCACCCACCTGTAATCCCAGCACTATATAAACTAAGGCAGGAGATTGCTGTGAATTCGAGACCAGTCTGGGTTACATAGTGAGTTCAGGGCCAGCCTGAACTACGGGCAAGACACTGTCTCGAAAGAAAGA